ATATATATATATATATATATATATATATATGTGTTTTAAGGGTTTTAACAAGGACAATGTGTGGCAGCCTATTGGCATTTTATTGTAATATATGTAATATATACTTGATTATGTTGGACTTTTGTAGGGGAGAGGCGTGAACCGAATTGGAGCTTAAATCCCGTGCGTGAGGACCGTGCGAAATCCGTCTCCGGGCTATATCTTCTATTCGTCTCATCGGCACTTCTATGCATTGTTCTTCCTGCATTCAATGCTTAATAAATCTACTTTAACTAACCCTCTCTTGAAATTCGTGGTTTAATGGCATGAGGGTTGGCAGGCAGTTCCTACAATGACTGTGGCGAATCAAATCATATCATCGAAATGTTCGAGATCAAAATGGATTTACATATAATCGCTTTTTTGGCATCCCGTGACTTTCCCCAGGTGTAAGAGAGCACTTAATGAATTTGAATACTTGTATTCCAAAGAGTACAAAGCAACTAGGTATGAGCGTGGCCGAAAGGTCAGCCAATAAACACAAGGGTCAGACAAATCTTAAAGTAATCGTCAAACGTCAGGGAGTCACGCGAACAAGTATAAGTACTTCCTTCCTCTCCTGGTGTACTCTAAACCTTGCGTTGCTCAAAGGAACCCAGGCTTTCCTGGAGTTGCTTAAGCTAGGGCTTGAGTATACTAGTGTTGAGTCTGCAACGAGCTCTCCTTGTCCATTGCGCATTGTATGTCTACATCAATTTTGATAGGATCGTCCAGAGGCTAACCATCAAACGCAAGAGCAAAACAAAATCCAAGTTAGCTGCTAGGCACCAGGTGGTCATACAAACAAGGCACTGCAATTATTGCTTTTTGACTCGTTATTGAACGAGTTCATGACTTTTCTGAATCATAGGTACCTGGGGTTGCATCCGTGACCAGCTTTCACACTTTTTAGAGCACAACCAAATTGTCCCAACGCAAGCTGATTATTAATAAACACACCTTATCAATCTGACAGCATATTTTTTGACAAATAAAACCTACTACATTTTCCTGTGCCTCTAGTTCGCCCTTTCTGACCTTAATTTGTTTATATTTATGAAAACACGTTACACCAATTATATTCAGCCAAATTAAACATACGCCAAGAGCTAACACGCAGGCATCATAGCAAGGGAACGATGTGCTTTGATTCTCAGATCTTTATCCCATGGAGCAATGTTATTGAAATACGGATTCATAGTCCAATACCGGTATTGTGTGACAGTTGTTATGGTCGGCCTTTCCTTCCTCGAATCGGTCCGTGTGGTCATGTGTTTTGCTTTACCTGTATTTGGGTCCGAGTCGCATTTCAGCATCCAGATCGAAAGGAGACTTGCCCAGTTTGTGAAAGACGCTTGAGAAAAATCGAACTTAGAAGGTATAATGTGTGTCTTTTATCTACTTTTTAGAGTTCGTGCCTTTGTATCATACACTCCGAAAGTGAATGACGTGGTTAGGTTTCGCTATATGACCAAGGATGAAAGAATTGTGAACTCATTCGCGCTAAGTCATCTGTCACTTGCATATCGTTCGCATCTACTAAATGCAGAAGAAAGTGACTTCTTGGACTTGCTTCGGAAAGATATTACATCCATGGAGAAATATATGATCGAACGCCGAAATGCAGGAAAGGGTGGAGTTCTACATTTGGTTGCAGAAGACATTGTAGCGTTTTTGCGCCTATATGAGGGGCTGCTACTGGACAATGAAGTGCAAACCTGTGATCTTGCTTCCGCAAATATTTCTCCGACACAAGTTCTACGAAATCCCAAATATTTCCTTGGTTTTATGAGTGTCTTCAGGCTAACTCCATTATAGAACTGCATCGTCAAGACACATTTCTCCATGCTTTCAACCGACGTTGCCTTCTGACTGAGTATGCGGATTCGGAGATGCCCAAAGTGGTTTCTGGAAGGGTTGTTGCTGTCGGACGTTTTACCATGGATCTGGTATGTGATGATATTAAAAGAAATTCATTTGTTTGGTGTTTTATTTTCATCAATTTGGGCCTTTAGTTGATGTATCATTTATCGTTGGCCAGACTATGCGTGATGTGATTCGACAAATAAACCATCTCCCTGTCGGCCATGCCTTCTACTTTGTTGTGCTCGATTTTGATGCCTCATTTGTCAGTGAAAGCACTCGCAACCAGGTGGAATACGGGATAACACTTAGTAAACTGTCTGGAAGACAAGTGAATGTGTTGGAGGCAGTCGGCCATGATGTCAATGACAAACTGTGTAGGCATTTGTGTTAATGCTCGTACTATTTTGGTGATTCTATTGTTCTGCTCGATCTTACTCAACACTACCAACATCATAGTGATGTTAAATCTCATCATCGCTATGCTGGTGCTGGATTGGAATTTATTCAGCAGCTACTTTTTATTAACCTTTTAATGTAGCTCTTGACTTAAAACGAACCGGTGTATACTTCGTGGACGAGTTATCCTCTCTTCCTGATGTGGAGCATCAAGAATCTTGTGAAGAAATCTCTCCCCACATTCCACTCTCACAGCTTCCCGTTCGCTGCCGTATCACTGTATGTTTTCTCATCTCACTCGTTTCATTATCTTTGGTCTCCTTTTCAATGTGTTTTGCTACAGCCTGCTGCAATTTATCAGATCACGTCCATGCTAATTCGCCAGCATAATGTCGCTGCGACCTCGATCTGTCTGCGCCTGTTTTCACCCGCATGTCATCACAAATGTGAATATGAGATGTAATGTTTGCAGTTTTAAGCCGCTAATATTTGCTCATCCAGCTTGTTTCGGCCATACGTTTAGTTGCTTTGAAATTCTAAATAGGTTACGCAATTGAGTGCTTAGTTCAGATTTCGTGTTATTTTCTCGCGGGCCAGTAAAAATTCTCTACTTCCCCCTTTAATGGTAGGAGTTGCCTTCAGGTTCGAAAGCCCTTTTTACGGAGGAAATGATGCAGGAACGGCTGCGAGAGGAGCAGCAGGAGCAAAAACAGGTACCGTCAAGGCAAATTCATAAGGAACAGACGCAGCCAAGGCATTGTCGATGGAATTTACTGCAGCAGCAATCCTTGGTTCCGCTATTAGCATCGGAGCGACCAGTGCCCTTAATCCCACTGCCAAGGGAACAACAATCCCGATCTTTACAAATGCATAGAGGATTTAGGCAATTGCGATGCTTACAAGTGCCGCGAGAGCAGCTCTGCTCAAACCGTCCCCAAAGCTTTCAGGAGTCGCATCAACTGAATGGAACAGAGAGGGTAGAATGGAAATTGCCACCACCTTGGTCTGCCAAATGACTCAGAGCACACATTACTTTCAATACTTAAGTAGTCATTTCGACGACGTTTTACCCCAGCCTTGATCGTTTCTCAGGCCCCAAATGGCTGTGTCCAACTCTTTTTGAAAACCCTATTAACTCCAAACTAGCAGAATTACTGTTGCATTTCATGAACTTTTTGTGAAATTGCACTCTACCGAAGCTTTTTTTACCTTTCAAATTCTCCATTGCCCCTAAAATTGTGAAGAGGGAAGTTTTGCGCCTCTAATCATGTGGGAGATCCTCTCCTCTTCAGAGATGCATTATCAAAGACGCGATAAGTGGTATGAAACCGAAAAAGATATGCCGTATAGTCGTATCGCGAAGCCATTGTCAAGGCCATGAATTCATACACAGATATCTTTTAATAAAACCTAGTTTTGCTCCATAAAATGAAGCGAATGGCAAAATGTCGCCTACTATTGCATCACTGTGATGATTAAACTGGGCGCACTATTATTGTAGGTGGAAAATGAATCATTTTAGATGTATCATTTGTCATTTGTGTTGGATTTATTACCTCCTCATTATTTTTCATCGAACGTATAATTTCTCGACAAAAATCCAAAGTTTGCCGTGGTTTAAAGAGCCGACTTTGATGGCCATTGGTAGTGGCGTGCCTCCTCACCTCCTCATTGGCGCCTAATATGAATTTTTCAGAGTTTCAAACTAACAGTCACTCAGTTAAGGCTTGAACTTTCCTAGGTTCAGCCGATGAAGTACTTTGAGCACAAGTGATTACTTGCGCATTTGAGAGTTTACTTCCCATTTGTCTACTTAAGGCAGAAAATTAATTTGTAGACCAAAGTTATGGAGGAAGTACTGATGTCTCTTGCCTCATCTCGTTATAACTTCTACCCTGTTTCATCTCTCTTTTGACCAAATTTTCCTTTTCAACGGTTATAACCGTCTCTGCGACAATTTCTTCACCTCTTAACCGCATAAAGTGGATGGGCTTCAATCATGCCCATTACTGGGTCTTCAAGAAGCATTAAAAATACGCCTGCATGAACGGGCTTTTTTGGGGAGGAGGTTCATCGACGTGGGCTCTCAACTCGCAAGCTGTGATCGTGGTGAGTGATTATTTTCAGACTAGTTTGACGTGGAACCCTTCAGCTCCTGCCCTTAGGAGGGTGGTAGGTCCCTTCGAGAGTAAAAGGTGTGGAGAGCAATTGTTTGGCAATATGATGCTGATAGGTGGACCGATTAACAATGAGCGCATCACTTTTACGAAGGTTGAAAGCCCTTAACTACGACGAGGAATGAAGAGATATATTTGGTCAAAATTGACGGGAAGTTGGATGTTCTAGCCATGTGGCCTGGGGTGGAGTGAAGTTATTTAATTAGGGAAGTATGCCATTGTTAAAACGAGCATCCGTGGTAGCAGAATGAGGCAGTATTTGGAATGCGCCGGTTTGTTGGTCTTCTCCACTCTCCTGCCTTGCCTCGAGGACATTTTACTGGTCAATGCCGAGCGGATGACTGTCTTGCCACACAATAGTGTTTTCCTTACTAGCGATTTTGCAAACGAACAAGTATACAATCCTATGTGTGCCTGGATTAGTCGTTTTTTGTTGTTTAAAATTACTTTACACTGATATTATTAGCAGAGTGATGAGATTGGCACAAACCCATGTTTGCAAATGCTCTCTACACATCCATTTGTATGCCTTCAACGCATTTTTTTGCCACATGCGCTCATTCCTATAAGTGTATGCATATATTTTATCTTACGATCACACAACACCGCCTATTGTGTGTATGGAAAGCACATCTGTTCATTCACACACTTGACAGCATTCTGACATTTCCTTGATGATAAATGGTTGGGCTGATGGCAGGGGGAAGAAGGAGATCGAGGCGGTTGGCAAGGTCTGGTCAAGACAACTTGACCACCTGAGCAAACAATGCATCGCCTAGCTCCTCTCCCCTTTTGGATCAAAGGCGTTAAAGTCCTCCTTCTCCTCGAGCCACTTACGTCAACCAATGTAAAATAAATTGTAATGAGAAAAAAAATTAGCAGCAAAATGATTTCCACATTCCTCAACTCTCGTGGGATTGAAGTAACAATAAAGTGAATTTAAAGTTCCATCCGGCTTGGGAATAGGGTTTTCGGATGAAGAATTCTGCTGACTGCCAAGTGTGTTGTGTGTTCATTTCTGAAACTCGGAATCAAAACTCTCTCAGACGCTGCATGACAGATGTCGCTCTGCCGTCCCCACTCCTTCCGTAGTGAAGAACTACGAGCTTCTCCCATTCCCAATGTATCTGCTTCACTGGCACCGCAAAGTTGCTTAAAAGTTGAGTTTCTTTTCCTCTGCCACCATTACAGCGCCTCAAGAAGTCCTTCCGGAAGGGGACGGACGACGCAATACTTAACCGGAGTGGCAAGTTCAACGAAAAAGTAAGAGTTTAAGAGTTTCGATGCCGTCGGATTGAGCGACAAACAAAGTTTCACATACTTATCATCTTTTAATAACCCTTTGAGAGTATTTTTACGCATACAAGATTACATTCGTTTAAATAAATGGTAGAACCAATTGTAACCGCAACGTATGAAAATAATTTTTTGGAAGGCGTCTTGCTTGATGATGTACTATCCTTTACCCTTTTGAAGGCCGAGGCTTTTTTTTTTCGTTTTTAGTGCTGAGCTGGTTTGTTATGGTAAGATTGTGAGTTCCTCTTGGGGTTAGCATCCATCCCAAGGAAGACAAAATAATCCTTCTTTGCCATTACCCAATGCGATTGGCATTTTGAAGTATAAATACCACTTCACTGCAATGGTGCAATAACGAATTGCAACAATAATTTAAACCGTTTTCACTCCACAGACCAGTAGTTTCAACTCCTCGGGCCTTTTGCATGTTCAGCATGGTCAAATGACTTGACCCCACAAACCCAATCCGAGTCAAAGAGGGCGCTGATAACATCCGACACACGAGTTCAAAACACGGCAGCACTGTTCACCGTCCTTTCACGACCTCACCAAACGGATTTCATGGCGTCCGATCCGCAAAGCATGGAATTATTAAACATTCAAGGTACAAACTACTGAGGCATCATTTTAATGAGGTTGTGAAAAAAGGCTTTCACAAGTGTGAATTAAAGGGCACCATCAGAACTAATCGCATGGTTACAAGAAAGGCATGATCGACAACGCAAAGAGTTTCCAATCCTCCTCACTACGCTTATTAAAGCACGTACAAAATACTACCAAATAAACTTTTAAAAAAGTGCAAATAAATAGGTCAACGTGTGTGTTTGTTGTTTTAAATTGCACCTCACAAACAGGGAGCGGAAAATTAAGTTGAACGTGATTCTGGAAACGCAGAAAGCATTAGACGTCTTCGCCTCGCTTCCCTTCTACCGCACCGCCTATCTCCTTGTGCCACCACCGTCAAGGAAACTTTTTTAACTTTCTCTTACGGGTGTACCAAAGGTCCTCCTGAGGAGGCGAGAGATAAAGGCGCTACGCGTCACCCACACCCTCTTGCCATCAAACCGGCACTAATATTTGTTAAGTTGACTGCCAGGGTTCCGTGCATCCAGTTTAACCTTTGTTCGGTTGCGTGCATGTCCAAAAATTATTAGTGCACACCTACGGACAGCCGTTTATGCGGTACTTTATTTTCAGACAGCGTGCGTCTATACTACTTCCATCTATTTTGAGTAGATGATAAACAGGTGCGGAAAAGGGGCGAACTACCCTTTAGCATTCACGTATACGTGACCATTTACCAAATATCAACAAACCACGGCACAAGCATGTACCTACACCTGCAAATTTTGATGGGCAAACTAAAATTTCGCAGATGAAAAGAGATGCCATTTGCCCAGAGCGCTTGCAATAATTATTTGGACTACCTCTATGATTGGCGATTCTCCCAGCAATCATCTTTCTTTTACCTCAATAGACGGCCCTTGCGCCGGACTGTAGCCTCTTTTCTACGCTTTCCGTCTGAACACAAGTATTAAGTCAAGCTCGATGCCTCTTATCACCAGACGGAAAGTGTTGAGACGTTACAAGCCAGTGCCAAAGCCCAATCTCTCCTCCCTCAACTTGACTGCATGTAGATGGCTCTGCTTAATGCCGCCTTCTACCCAATGAGAAACCTATAGACGTTACACTAATGGCAGCAGGAAGCAAACCCAACTTTGTTACCACATCTGTCCTAGTTTTCGGCGTTTGTGACAAAATTCTACCGTGCGAATAAACTGCATACATTTATGACTGGGGAAGTCCCTACTTCCCCACACCAGAAGGGCTGGCACCGACGTCAAAGTTTAGCATTTGCCGTATTTCCGGGTTTCTGAGGCAAGCACAACCCATCCAGAAAAGTTTGTTTCGTAGTTGCCTTTGGGGCACTTTGCGTATAAATGTTGGAGACAAAACTACGCCGAATCTCCTTCCATACGGGACTATATTG